TTTCTTTGGTTTAATCAAAAAGCCCAAATCCGCGTGGTTTAGCTGGCAGCGCCCGGGATCCCTGGGCAGGGCCGGGTGGCTGGAGCGGGGCTGTGCCAGGCTGGGGGCTCCATCCTCCAGAGAGAGCACGTGTCCTGTCCTCCTGTCCCCTGTCACCGGGAGGAGCAGCTCCAAGGGACCCCAAGCGTGGCACCGCGGTCTGGGGCTGCGTGTGGGGCATGACCCACCTTGGGTCAGGGGAGATCAACCTCATGGGAACCTTCGCTGGGCTGTTTGGTGGGAAGAAGGATCCGTGCCAGGACGGAGGGAGGCTGCTGTCTCCTCTTCGGGCCCCCCATGGAAGGAGAGACTCCCCCAGCTGCTGCCCCACCTCCACCAGGACTAAGCAGCACCACGGGCCACCCCCGCTGCCCGGCCACCCCTCACTGTGCCACTCCAAGCCCCGGCAGGTTCGGGGGCACTTCTGGCCACAGGTCCTGGGAGTGGACTGGGGGTTAAACATTCCTCAGGTGCTTCAGCTCCTTCTGCAGCTTCTCCGTGAGTTTCTTGAAGGATGGCCGCTTGCCTGGCTCCAGCTCCCAGCAGCTCCTCATCAGGGCATAGACGGTGGGTGGGCAGCCCTCGGGGGGCTCCATGCGGTACCCCTGCTCCAGCAGCTCCGTCACCTCCTTCAGGCTCTGGCAGGATGGAGGAGCCAGCTGGAGCTCCCCCCTTCTCCACCCTGGAGGGTCTCACCCTGGCCAGGGCACAGCAGGAGGTCCCCATCCCCTTGGTGCCGGTGGGGTGTGACCTGTGGTGTCCCCTGGCACTGCACTTACCAGCTTGGGGTAGGGCGCTCGTCCAAAGGAGAAGGCTTCCCACAGGAGGATCCCATAGCTCCACACGTCTGACTTGGAGGAGAATTTCTGCAGTGGCAGGAGGAAGGGAGGCTGAAGCCAGCCGGGGTCCCCGCTGGGCTCCCATCCCTCCCTGAGGGCAAAATAGGGGACAGCCCCCTGCCCCCCCAGCTCCCTGGGGTGTGCATGCCCATCACCCAGACAGCCCTGGGTCCATCCTGCCGGAGCTGCCCCTATTCCCACTACGCACCAGGGCAAGGGCTGGTCAGGACAGAGCCCCAGTTTTGGGGCAAACAGGGTTGAATGTGCCAGAAGCCACCACAGGGTGGGGACGGGTCGGTGGGAAGGCAGATGAGCAGGGGGGTCCCAAGGGGATGAGCTGCTTAGGGGGGACCCTCGACCCCCCACTCCCTTCCCACTGTCTCTCACGTTGTGTTTCAGAGCCTCGGGGGCCGTCCACTTCACGGGCAGCAAGGTGGCGTCTGCGCCCTTGGGGTTGACCCGGGCCAAGCCGAAATCGCTCACTTTGGCCACGTTCTCCTCAGAGATGAGGATGTTGCGGGCGGCCAGGTCCCTGTGCACCAGCTTCTTGGATTCCAGGTAGTCCATGCCCTGAGCCACGTCCCTGCCGTGGCAGAGTCCGGTGTCACCGCACGTCCCCCGGGGCCGCGCAGGGGGATGCAGAACACCGGCCCCCAGCCTGGAGGAAGGGGGATAACTCACAGAGCAAACAGGAGGAGCTGCTGGGTCGAGACGAGTGCCCGGCCCCGTGTGCGCAAGAAGTTCACCAGGTTGCCCTGGTGGAGAGGAAACACGTGAGGACCGGCAGGAGGGGGCTGCCCAGAAACAGACTTTGCATCCTGTGGGGGCTGCTGCTCAGCCCCCAGACAGGGATTTTGTCCCCAGGCCTGAGTGGCAATGGGCCCTGCTGGCTGAGGACCCGCTGGGTGTCTGACCTTGCTCATGAACTCCATGACGATGTAGAGGCCGTTGTGCAGGATCACGCCAAGCAAGCACACCAGGTTTCTGTGTCGGACCTTCCTGAAATGGAGGGGACCCGGTCACAGGGGTGCCTGCTTGTCCCCAGGTCCTGGGGCAGGGTTTGGGCATATCCCCCACAGGGCGCTCACGTCATGGCAGCCGTCTCAGTGAGGAAGGCCTGGGCCGTCACGTCACACTTGATGTTCTTCACAGCCACCTTCTGCCCCATGTACTCGCCCTGCAGGACATCTGGGAGGGGACACAGGGGGTCAGGCTCAGCCCCACACTGGACCCCCTGCATCCCTGGCTGAGCCCCCCGTGCCATGGGATGGGGAGGGGATGTCAGGGAGTGCCATTTGGGGAAGCCCACTGCCAGGGAACCTCCAACCCCATCTTCTCACCCACCTCCGAACTCGCCTTGCCCAATGCGGTCTCTGAGCGTGAGGTGCTGCAGGTTCAGCAACCAGCCAGCTGGGTACAGGCACAAGGGAAGGTTAGCAGAGGCCACCACTGAGACCACGCTGCCTTGTGCCCAAATCCCAGACCACGACCCCCTCCTGCCGTCCCCTACCTTTGGCCAGCTCCTCCTCAGCTGACTTCATGCCCGGTTTCAGTTTGGGTTTCACCAGCTTGGTGCAGAGGGCTCCCTGCTCCTTCATGTAGTGCTGCCGAGGGGTGAACAGGAGGAGGTGATACAGCAATGCCCTCACTGACCCCCAGGCTCAGGGTGTGGGACTGGGAAACGTCTGTGGGATGCTCCACGGGACCCCACAACCCTCCCTGCTCTCAAGGGGCTGGAGCTCCTCCAGCCCAGGCAGCACGAAATGCTGATTTCCCCCAGCACTGGCACTTGCAGCCCACGTCTCAGTCCTGCTCCCCCCCGGGCACAGCCAGGGAAACACAATGACAGGCCATGGGCTGCACGGGACGTTACCCATGAGCCGGGTGGCACCATGGGGTTAAAATCCCCAGTGGGGGCTGCAGCAGCTGGGGGAGGTTTGCAGAGGTCACAAGGAGCAGAAGCAGCAGGACAGCCACTGGGGTTACAGAGCAGGGTCAGGGCATCTGAAAGGGGAAAGGACCCACTGGAAAGCAGAAGTTGTGTCTAAATGAGGAAAAAATACAGAATCATAGATTCATTAAGGCTGGAAAAGACCTCTAAGGCCATCAAGTCCTACCATCAAACCAACACTACCATGACTACTAAACCATGTCCCCAAGTGCCATGTCCACACGTTTTTTTGAACCCCTCCAGGGATGGAGACTCCTGTGCAGCCTGGGCCAAGGCCTCACCACTCTGCCAGGAAAGAATTCTTCCTAAAATCAAATTGAAACCTCTCTGGTATAACTTAATCTCATATGAGAGTGCAGTGGCCTGGAGAGGAGATGGGCAGCAGCTACGAGACAGGGTGAAGATGGGCGATGAGGAGGAGCCCTCTGGAAGGGTGAGAGCTGATACAGCAGCCTGGGAGCCATGTGGGGCCAGCAGCTGAGCTCTCTGGTATAACTTAATCTCATATGAGAGTGCAGTGGCCTGGAGAGGAGATGGGCAGCAGCTACGAGACAGGGTGAAGATGGGCGATGAGGAGGAGCCCTCTGGAAGGGTGAGAGCTGATACAGCAGCCTGGGAGCCATGTGGGGCCAGCAGCTGAGCCGGCTGAGCGGGGGGCTCAGAGTGGAGAGGAACACAGCAAAACAGTGGGAGCCACCAGCCTTTGGCAGGGATGGAGGATGATCCCAGGTAACAAAACCAAAGGAAAACCACAGGAGAAAGGGACAAGGACTTTATCCTGCTTTATATGACCCCGTGAGGTCCTTGCCCTCGGTCTGGCACCGCCGGGGCTCCCTGTCCAGGAAGGGGCTTCTCACCTCGATCATGTCGATGAGGTTGGAGAAGTGCTGCTGGCTGTCGATGCTGAGGGTGTGCTCCTCGTGCACCACGCGGTAGTGGATCACCTCCCTGCCAAAGCTCACGCACAGCACGTAGTCCCCGGGGTGCCGGCCGGACTCGCGCACCAGGAACATCCCGTCCTCGGGGGGCTGCAGCTCCT